TCAGTCTGCAATTACAAAAATGAGAACGACAAAAACTGAAACCGAAAATTCCGAGAGGGCTAGGAGAGAAATCCCCACACACCCCAGCACCCCACACTCTGTCACTACTTCACCATCTTCCTCCTTGTCCCGATGCAGGCGGCCCGTCACCTCGTACCTACCAACAACTCAGAGTTGTAACCCCGCTTAGTTTGAGTACATGCGCCAGGTTCACCCATGCTCCACAGTCCGTCATGGCAGCACGTCAACCCCGCACACTCGCCACCAGCTCGTCAGATCGCCCAAGTGGCAACTCTGAACTCACCTCTTCGTCTGTTTCTACTCGTTAGCCAATCCTCTTGGCCGTGCTAACCTTCCCAGGTCTGATTAGAGAGCGATTTAGTTGCACTTGCGAAATTTATAACAATCAGTATTTGCGCAAGATAGTCAGGATTATGCGAAGGCAGGGGGAACGAGGAAGGACGGAGGTACCTACAGTCGGCATGCCTGGCCCACGGCACGGGGGACGTAGCCAGTCTCCGCGCTTCGATCTAGTCATGCATCGTTCTCCCCAATAAGACGAGGGGGAGGAAGTCACACGCTTGGGCGCGAGGAGAAGCCAAGAGGGAGAAGATTACAGTTACACGCGCATTTGCCAATAACGGAACAAGAATAAATTACAGTTGAGATTATAATTAAGGCACGGCGAAAGTAGAGTGTAGGACAGGGCACAGCGAAACATGCGCGAGTAAGGAGCATCTTGCAGTTACGAAAAGAAATACGATGTCCCCAAAATCCAAATCCAATTAGAATCTTAATTTCAACTGTCCGCGCGGTTTCCCGCATTCTTTCCAAAGCCTTCAAAAATTCAGAAAGATTTTCCCGGGCGATGACCGCGTCGAAGTTCCCTGCCCAAATTTCCCAAAAGAAAACAAAGAAAGCCGCATCAACCATTATTCCTGTGCTCGCTAAGGCGCATCCTGAACACCAACCACCATGGGACCAAGTTCTCGCAAAACAGAGAGGAAAGAAAAAGGAATGGGGGCACCTGTGCAATTTGATTAAGCCCCTCCGCCTCTCCCCCTGCCAAAGTGCAATCACGCAGAAAGTCATGCTTATCAGAAAATAGATCCTCACATCTCACTCAAGAGCCTTAAAACATCTCTGCGGGTGAGGTGTCGTGCAGTGTGTGTGTGTGTGTGTGTGTGTGTGTGTGTGAGAGAGAGAGAGAGAGAGAGAGAGAGAGAGAGAGAGAGAGAGAGAGAGAGAGAGAGAGAG